TCTGTCTCTTACTCTCTCACTCTGTCTCTTACTCTCTCACTCTGTCTCTTACTCTCTCACTCTCTCTCTTACTCTCTCTCTTTCTTCTCTTCCTCCTACACATCTGTAATCGCTACGTCTGTAGGAAAGAGCTAACTTTGGTAGACTACTTGGATCTATTCTGCTGGCATTCTGGAACCATTTCTTTTGATATGTATTTATGTTATGTATCGCTATCAACATAGAATGAAGCTATTATTTCCTTGTTTAGAACTTAGTCCCTCACCATTAGACTCAGTGGATGTCTTAAGATGTGCATTTGAGAAATTTTAAATCTTCAATTGTTTTTTTGCAGTGCTCATTGTTCATTTGTAAATTGATGGGGTTGATAAACCATTGACATAAACATTAACATGCTATTCAATGATATGTTTCTAAAACACTTCTTCATAACTGTAAATTTAAATGTAGTTTTATAAAGTAAGCTGCTTGTATGATTTCAGCCAGGCTTATTTGGGATGCAGAACCACCTGCCCAACCTACCGGGGATGGTCTTTTGCCTTTTCCTCCTAGGGTCTTTGTGGAAGCTCCTTATGCTTCAGGACCTCAAGGAAACTATGAACACACATTTCAGCATCATGAACCTGTTGTATTTCATAATTCGGTACCTCCACAACATCAACAAATTCCTCATCCACAACCACCAAATCAATCTTACTATCATGGAGAAATGTATGTGGTAAGTTTCTTCTTCATGGTTATAGTGTTTGATTAACCAAAAGAAACATACCTCATTTAGTGCTTTATATTTCGAATGAAATGAAAAGAATGACTTCCTTATTAATTTTTTTTCAGGATCACCCTCCTTCACAGCCCCCAGTATCACAACCTCTTCATCCACCTCATCAGGCTGGCCCCAATGTGGATTATTGGCATGATATACAGCCTCCACATCCTCCTAACCAGTTACAGGGTCCTCCGCATGGGCGAGAGAACTTCTATCCTCCACCAGATGCAGTATTCAATCCACCGCAGTATGCAGGACCAGGACCTGGGCCTCCTGAACAGCCCCCTTTCTCTGTGCACATGGATCATCCTGGTCCAGTACCAGGGCCCCCTCAGGTAAAACAATAACATTATTGCCCTTCAACATGATATTTTTATTTTCTTATTTATCTATTAAGACACAATAAATATTGGAATGTACTTTGTTTTAGTTAAGGTGTATTGTGATTGTAGTATTTGAATCTTTAAAAAGTACCGATGCAGTTCTTTAAATGTATGGACAGGGGAAAGTTTGTTTTCTTCTTCTTTGGATTGAAATTAGTGATGAGCTTAACAATAATTGTGGTATCAACAACAAATCTACATATTCGTAATTACTGTCAAAATATTTTGATGTCAGTATTCTATTAATGATTTAGCTTGTGTCTACTAAATATCAAGAAATTTCAAAACTTCCTACTTGTTCATATTAAGACCATGATTGAATTCAGTTTTAAGACATCTCCAGGTAAATTTTGAAATGACATTCCTCTAAAAAAAACTTCATATTTGAAAGTGAAAATGCTAGTTCTATTGAAAAGTGTTGGAGATTAGATTTATTGAATTACAAGTATGAATGCATTGTGATCATTTGATATTCAGTTCAGTGTAGATGATATGGCAACTCTTAAAAACAGAGAAAATCACCAGAAATTTAAAATCAGAGTTGAGTGTACCACAGAACCATTTAAACAATTTTCCCAAATATCACTTTATCATCCTTGATGCATGATCATCCTTTAGATTCAGTAAATTTCTCTCACTTGTGCGGTCTTTTTTTATAAACTTTAAACTTCAGTTCCTTCCCTATTAAAGATTTGCAAAGTTACATGGACTTTCTTATTTATCACAATGTGCTTTCTAGTGAAATTGTCATTTGTCACTTGTCCTATGTGAAACAATGGTGTGCAGTAAAAAGACTTACCTCTGGACTTTTGATTATATTAGTTATTTTATTTCAAAATGGACTTGTAATTGTACTTGTCCTTATTCTATGGCCAATTTGTGCCATGCTTGTGTGCACACAGCCAGCAGTATGGCAAGGTGCTACTTCAGACACAATGCAGATATCTGCCAGTCAAGTGACTGCTCAGCAGTTTCCAAGTGCCCAGGTAAAATCCAATTGTGTTGTGATATATGGAGTCATAACATTTGAGTATGCTCAAATTGAAAGCATATTTTGTTTGTCTGTCAAGAATGGTAAATTGCATTTTCCCATTGTGTTATGTGAGATTTAAAAAAAACGTGTCTTTCCTTATTAACAGAATTCTCTATTTTCTGTGCATGCAAAGTGTCTTTGGAAACAATCAAATCTTCAATTAAAAGTATATTAAAAAGTGACATGATGCACTTCTCTGTATTCAGTCAAAAATTATGGTCGTTTGCAGTTATTGTAAATTATGAGGAAAAATTTTATTAAGATTTCAAGAGTATGATTTTCAAATATAATTCATATATTTACACTATTTTAAAATAAAAATGTTATGAACTTCCCAGTTAAAAAATGAAGTCTAAATGCTAATGATCATAATATCCTCAGTGTTCATCCAAATTAATTAAGATTTTTCCCTCTGAAAAATGGAAATTTACTCGTGCTAAGTGAGCCTGCTTGCACAGCAAAAATGATTTCAGTCAATGTCATAACAAAAACAATTTAAAGGAATGTGATTATCTTTTGGATATATAACTACTAATGTTTTTTGCCTTTTTATAAAACAGTTTTAGTATGTTTAACAACAATTAGTTTTATTCCATTTTTGGCATGCCAATCATGGGATGGGGGGGGGGGAGGAAAACTCTGGATTCAGAAGTTTGAAAACATTTTAGAGTTTAAAACAGTTAAACTGAGTTGTTGTTTTTTTATAATAATAATGTTAAGACAAAAATACAAACAAGAGACCATATGAAATGTAACATACCAAGTGGCCAGGAACAATTACAGATTCTGGGCTTATTTGGGACCCATCCCCCCCCTGTCTGTGGCACAGTTGCCAGTGTTTCAGTTGCATACTGTGACCTTCTTCAGGGCGGAATTGGAGCTGCTTTGAAATAAACAGCGTTCAAAGTCAGCGGCAAAACTTGGGGAAAGTAAGTCGGCTGAGAGTTAGTGTCTCAGACATCTGAGATTTTTGAGATTTCATGCATCAGCGGCCATTTACATTGGCGAGACAGGCTACATCAGCTTTAGCTCTTCATGCATGAAAAATAGACATGTCATTCTTGTTGACACCTGCCTTCTTGTCAAGGAAGTCTGCTGGGGAGCAAGGAAGGTAAAAGATGGAAACCATGAAATATTCCCAAAACTTGAATGCCGACCAAGGCCTGGAAACCTGTTTTACCACACTATCCATGTCAAAGTGTGACTTTCATTGCTCCTGGTTGGCCAACAATGGACGGTCCCTATCTCCTGCCATGCCCAGGAGGTCCTTTGCTTGATCATCTGACCAACTGTCAGCTGGTGCATTGTCCACCTCCGTGAGTTTCCCCCTGAGAAAAGGCACAGTGTGACAGTAAAACGTTGGCACCTGTGCCTAGGCAGCTCCCAAACAGCTCTTACGCTCTGTTGACTCTGGCAGTGGAAGCTCACGCTTCCACGAGCATTGAATATGTTTTTGACTTATTGACTCTTCACACTTGTAATTTTAACTCAATGTTATCTCCAATGAAGTAAAAATGTTAAGTTATTACACCAAAATGTTTTTACTCTGCTGGACCCAGATGTCACACAGTATTATAAAATTAATTGTTGATTATACTAAAACTAATCTTTTATAAAAGGTTTTAAAAAATTAAAAAATACAATGTTTACAGTTTAAACTAGTGATGCTACAGAATGGCACAGCCCTTCTCGTACTAGTTCATATTCTAATTTCGTTTATCTGACCTTTATTGACCAGGCAATATCTATTCTGGAAAAATTCCTATGAATAGTGTAGGCAGTAGTGTTGTTTATAGACAGATGGATGTTTTGGGAAAAAAATCTTTTCCAATATCAGAGGACCCCAAAACAAAAGGGAGGATACAAAAAATGTATTTCCATTGAAATCTTGAAATCTATTTTCCGCAATGCGTAACTTTTTCTATCCTACTATAGTATTCTGTATATATAAGTGAAAGAGAAAATCATTAACTTCAGTGCTTCTAGTGGACTCGGGGTGACAGAAGATTTATCAAACTCTATTACATTGTTAAAACTTTAAATGTGCAGACATTTTCCTTCAAAAAAAGAAAGGGAAGATAATCTTAATTAGTTGATTTTCTCACAAGAGCTTTTATTTAAAAAAGGTAACTTTTGAAAAGAATGTCAAAATTATATGATCTCTATTTTTCATTTTGAAGCAAATCATGCAATTTGTTTAGTTCTTTAATGTAATTGCAAGCAAGCCTTGAAATAAATGATTTTACATTTTTGAAGGTGCAATTTCTAATACAATGAGTGAAATATTTCACAGTAGTTAAGAGATTTAATTGTTTTCAACTGCTCTTTGTATTGTTTTATCTTGTTTTGGAACTTAAGTGCCCTCTAATGGGGATTTTGATTGATTTATTATTAATCCTTTGTTCTACATATGTCTTGGTGTAGTTTAAATAGAAAATGATATTTTTACTCCCTTTTCTGGGCCCTGTCTACTTATTTAAGCATTATGTCTTTGTTAAGTTCATATTTTGGCTTTTATGTAAACATAAAATGTTCATTATTAAAGTATTGTAGAGTTTGTAAGTTAATCTTGTTTTTTTCTTTCATATTTGTGTTGCTTAAATGTAGTGTGCTTATGTTTCTTACCATGGAATGATTTATTAACTTTGTAAATTCATTTCAGTTTTTTGAAGTTACCCAGAAATTTAATTTTCTTACACTTAGAGATATTTAATCCAGTTTCATTGTGCATTCGTTCTTTCTTTTTTTCTTTCTTTTTCTTTTCTTTTTCTTTTCTTCTTCTTTTCTTCTTCTTCTTCTTCTTTTCTTTTTCTTCTTCTTTTCTTTTTCTTCTTCTTCTTCTTCTTTTCTTTTTCTTCTTCTTCTTCTTTTCTTTTTCTTCTTCTTCTTCTTTTCTTTTTCTTCTTCTTCTTTTCTTCCTCTTCTTCTTCTTTTCTTTTCTTTTTCTTCTCCTTTCTTTCTTTTTCTTCTTCTTCTTTCTTTCTTTGTCTTTTTCTTCTTCTTTCTTTTTCTTTCTTTTTCTTCCTTTTTCCTTCTTTTTCTTCCTTTTTCCTTCTTCCTCATTCTTTCTTCTGTTTTTTGTAATTATCTTTGGTAGAAAAGTATTAGTTGTTTACACCTTCAAGTGAAGAGCATTTTTTTTATTTGTTCACAAAGAGTCTATATTAGTGGGGGAAACAGAACCGATTAAGGAATAGATTTGATCTATTACAATATATCATACTACTTGGGGGCATGCTGATGTAATAAACTCAGATTCATTGGAAATTTGGGATCACGGTTAGGTTCTGTAGTTTTAGATCCAGAGAAGGGTAATGTGGAAGCATTAAATGCTGACACTTTCTGCATATATTGGAGACAGTCATGTTTCTGTTTTAATAGGTGCATTGGTACCTGTTACATTCGTACTGTAGCTTTTCTAGGAATATGACTCCCTTTTAGTTCTTCGATTATTTGATAATATGATTTCATTTATTATTAGGTTTTCCTATTTAACTTTTGAATTTTAATAGCCTGATTTTTATTTATGTAACTCATTTGAAGATATTTGTTGATCACAGGGAGTTTTCCGCTTGGCTAATCCTCCTGGTCCTGGGCTTGGTCCAGGAGCCCGTTTTCGGCAGCCTGCAACAAGAAACTTCAGGAATTTTACTCAGCAAAGACCTCGGTTTCCTGGTATGGAATACAGTGCTTTAGGTATTTCAAATAATAAATTATTATCTTTTTTTATCATTTAGGCGGTTGGTAATTGCCTGAACTTTGTTCTAAATCACTTTTTTTGTAGCGTTAGTTATGTGCCTTGAAGGTGAGATTAAGGGTGAGTTTAAAGGTGAACTCTGTGTTGAGACAAAAATATCAGTTCTCATTTGCCTACAATCAAATATATTTTCTTGTTTACAATGTCAAACCTTAGGTTTTTTACTGTCTATAATCGTAAGAGTTCTTGTGGCATGCAGTCTTAATGGTTTTGTTTTTGAGGTGAATGGATATTGCAGGATTGTCGCAACAGTTAAAATATCAGATATCAAAATTGTACATCTGAGCCAAGTTAAAGCATGAGCATTCCAGTTTTCCAAATGATCTACAGAATTAAACAGTTTTCCTTCTGACACATGTTAGGGCTGGAATAGAGATAATTTTTTGTATCACAGTTTGTATTTCAGTATATGACATTAAAATTGCTTTCAAATTTCAAGTACCAACCAAAAACAGATTAAAACCAATTTAAAATATTATAAAGATAATGAATATAGGTTGATGGGGCTTGTTCAACTTTATTTTACATATTTTTACATATTCTACCTATTACTACATATTTTGTTACATTTTAATATACTTATACATCAAAATGGAACATTTTAGATAAGAGTTTAGAATATATGTTCGTGGAGTCCTCTTTCTTACATAGCATTGAAATGGGTTTCTATGACCATTGGACCTTCTTCTCATGAAGTTTCAAACTTACTCCCTCCTCCAAGTTCCATCACTGGCTACCTGGTTCTAATATTCCTTTCAGTACCAGCTCCTTGAGAAACTTCACATATAACAGTTTATCTCAATAATACAACACAAACCACTGTTCTCTGTAATAAATATTCACCAATCTATCTCAATAATTTTCTTCAAATATCCAAGGAAAAAAAATTCTTGCATTATTTCTAGCACATTATACAGACAAGCAAGGATAATTTTACCTATAAATAAATTGAACCAAAGGTCATACAAAATATCAGTCTATGAATGCATATTAAACTATAATAATGTAATGTGTAAACTATAATAATATAATTATGTAATGTCCATATTATGCATATCTGCATGTATATTTGTCCCAAATTTTTCTCATGGCACATAGAGTTGGTGGGACACCTGAATATATTTCATTAATTTGAAGCAGAAATTATGCAGAAAATACTAGTTTTTTCAAAACATTTTACATATTCTTTTTTAGAACATTTCGTTTAAGGCTATAATGCTTATCTTTAATTTTGTAATTTTCAAATGTTAGTTTTTTGCAGTTTTCAAAAATAAAGAAAATTTAACAAACACAGGAACTGCACCATTTTTTTAAGCTTTGTTCTATCTGTGGAGGTAAAAATTGAAGAAAATATTTGAAGTAGATTTGGAGAAAGATATATTTAACATTAAATTATGCAAAAACTACTCAGAATTTGAAAGATTGTACATGACCGAATTTCTAACTCTCGTGTTTAAAAGGAACAATATTTATCCATTACTTCGTTCCCAGGGCCCAGCAGCTTTTGTGTCAAAAATTCAACATGTTCCGATGGATGATTACAATGTTCTTTCTTCTTATGTACATAAGGACGAGAAAGTAATAAAGAGAGTTTGCCATAAATAGGCCTACTACCACTTTTTTTACTGTTCTTTAATACATCCAAGGATAAATTTTAAAAAAAATTGGGAACATTTTTGAGAAAATATTTTTTTTTAAATTGCCTCTTTGCTTTAGAAATTTTTTACATTCTCAATCTAAACAGAAATCTGAAGCTCTCCTCAACAAACAAACAATTTCCTTGTTTTCTGCTAATAAGACACCCCTCTCTCTCAAACTGACTCCCTCTTCTCCTGAAACATTTCTAAGAAGACACTAACCAGGCCTACAGCTCCTTATCCGCAGCCTAAGAAACATATTTAAATCCCAATTCAAAATTCTCCCAACTTCTCCACATTCAGTCTCCCAACTTCAACCACATAAAACAAGGTAAGCAGTTCAACTTAATTTTATTTTGCTTTTCGAAATTTCATTTCTTTATTTATTTTTTTTTTTCTTTTTTTTTAAGTTATCTTTTTATTTCAATTATTTATATTATCCCCTTTTTTATTGGAAAACAAATTTTAATTGTACATATGTTCATTTCTTTATTTGTATTATATTCTTTATTATTTTATAAGATTTTGGAATTATTTTGTACGTTTGTAGACCAATGATGTCGGAAAAGACGTTGAAAATCTCAGTTGGCAAAGACGACTTCCATTATTTCATCTTCAGAGCAATGCTCTAGCACCCTTGAAGCAAAACAAGGTTATCTTTGATAGATTAGTGTTTAGAGCAACTAATTGAAGTTTATTATTTTTCCCACTGAGTTTTCATCAGTAACTCGGCGAGACCGGAAATTAATGCCTGGTGTAATGTTTTGGTTTCTTTAAGGTTCGTTGAATGGTCCACATGCAAGACGTCCTGGGGGGCCTGTGCAACATGGCCCACCCCAACAGCCTCAACAGTCACCACCAGAAGCTCAACCACCACAGCCACAACCACCACAGCTGCCTCAAAACTTTCGCTCTCCCCAAAAGAGACCTTCATTTGATGGTCCAAACAACACTGTTGTTCCTTTGACTCAAGGCAGATTTGATTCTGTCCCAAAAAGAAAGAAGGTATGAATTTTACATCCATTTACTTTATTTTTGTTTTCAAATAATAAATTATTCAGTGGAAAAATATCACTTTGAATCCTGTAGGAAATTTTATGACTATGCAAACAGTTGGTCAAAGAGAATTGTTTCTTTGAAAATTGGGTAATTCTTTCTCGAGGCACCTGTGAACTGGTGCCTATTCTCCTAGTTTGTGACTTTAAGCAACTAAGAAAACATAAGTGAATTGTGCATTTGTTATTTGGCTATAGAAGGACAAATGTATTTTGATTTAGGAAAGGAAATGCTGCTTTTTGTAAATTCGTAAATTATATTTCTAATAATGTTGTACCATTTAATGTTGCTATCTGCCTAGAGAAGATAACTGATATTGCATGCATAGGTATGCATTAGGACCAAGCAGTTTTCTAGGTTTACCATACATTTGCATTTATCCAAACATATCCACATTTTTAGGGTGTATTTTACTGTCTGCATACATTTTTGTAAGTTCCCTGCTTTGTCCTCTAAACTGAATTAATGCTGCTCTGCAAGACAAAAAGATTGTTATATGATTTGCAGCACCCAGAATTCTGAGTTTTTTCTTGACATATTTGTTGACATTTTCCTTCACTAATTTTCAGAGAATGCCAGACATGAGTAATCTGCATGAAGTTCAGACTGTTGACACACTACCTCAGCACCTCAAACCAGAAGGGCAGGATGAAAATGAGGATGAAGAAACTCGTGAATATCGTAAAAAAATTGAAGAACAGAAACGCCTCAGAGAACGTATTCTTCAACAGAAAGAGGCTCGACGAAAATTAGCAGCATTAGAGAAGCAAAGAGAGTTGCAGAAAAAAGATATTGATATGCAAGCAGGAGGTAAGACTTTGTCTTCAAAAGAAATCAAGTTTGTATTTTAAAATTTCTTGTGAAATATTTTATGTTATTTTGCATAAAGTAAACATTTAAGGTTTGCTATTAAAACGTCTATTTATTAACTTTTTTGTAGGTGATGCTTCTTCATATTTTGCTGCTCAAACCGATCCTCCTCAAGGTAATGCAATAGCAACAATTGTAAACAGGAACACAATTGAACCACATGTTGTTACTCCTGTGAGAGTTCAGACCCAACCAACTCAACCTCCCCGAGGTATTGCATTTCAAGACAATTCGGTGGCTGGTAGTGTACAAGTTCAATCCACAGTACCTATTGTTAAGCAGCGAGGGATTCGAGGTCGTGTAGTACGAGGCAGGGGGCGAGGTCTTGGCCGAGGGCAGGCTAATAATATTCTTCCTAAACAAATACCTCAATCACAACTACAGCCAAATCATCAGAAACAGCAGCAGCATCAGCTCATCACTCAGCAGCAGCAGCAGCAGCAGCAACAACAACAGACATTGCCTCAACAGCCACAGCAGCAGCCACCACAAAATGTGCAAGTTGTTCCAATTCAGGTAACATGCTCTTTTATTTTAACAAGGCTTGATTTCTGGCAGAATGTCACAGAATGCTGTTCTGGAGGACCAGCTCATGACAACTTAGATTGTAGTTCAACCTACTTTCGTAATCTCAAAATTAAATAATTTGATTTATCAGTATAGTTTCCATGAGTGTAGTAAAATTATTAGAAAAAGGAATAAAATATTCTAAACTATTTTTTATGTATTATGATTATTATTATTATTATTATTATTATTATTATTATTATTATTATTATTATTATTATTATTAGGGCCCAGATGTAAATAACATATTTTCCTAAGTTAACTCTGTCAAGACAAATCAACACTATATTCATGTTTCTATCTTTAATGCCTAAAAATATTGACTGTTTTTAGTGCATTTATTTCATAATTTTCTCAAAAATACATGTTTTTACATATTTCTTAATATTTCCATTTTTCTACAAGCTTGTATAATTAATTCTTCATTCATCCTACATGTTGATACAGAATTGCCCAGACAAACAATTAAGCATTGTTAAAACACATTTTTTCCCTGCACCCTACTCTTTCATATAGCATTTCATGTTGCATTGCATTAAAATGAGTCTGTCAATAAATATGAGAAGTATTGCAAAAGGAACGGACAAGATGTTAATACAAACCGAAGCTTCCAATGTGATACAGTGCAAGTATCATGGATAACAGAATACCGCTCAGAAGGAAATTGGTGTGTGAAAATTGTGTGTCTAACAGACTATATCTTGCGCTCACTTTGCGTATCTCAGAGCCCTTGCCCTAAATACTCTTTGCCGAAAACGACTTGCACCAGCGCTGCTCAGGAGGTGCCATTGTCATTTTTCTTTCCCTTTTTGTCATGTGCGAGTCTCCTCCGTTAAACTGTATACTATCACTTTGGGATGAAAATCTGGAGAAAAATCGATATCACTACTGTTTGGACAAGGAAAGGACAAAAAATCACTCGACGGTTGGATTAAACCTTGTGGAGCACTGGTAACACAGAGTGGAGACTCGGCACAGGCAAAGTATGATGTATCTTTTCAGAGCAGTCTAGCAAAAGTGCTTTGGGTAAGAAGGGGAATTTGTGCGATCTGTGAGTCAATTGGTCAACCCTCAACCAGCGGGCTTTTATTCCCTAATCCGAGACAAATGTTGCACATCCACATTGTAAATTCAGTTTATATTTTTAGTACACATTAATCTCCATTTTATTTTAAAATGCCGAAGGTCAAAACTCCTCTGCGTATAAGACTGATGCCATTCACAGAAACAAACATCACAGAAAAATTAAAACCTTTTCTACAAATAGAAAATAATATTTTTGCCAGATGTATTAAAAAAGTGTGTCATGTACTCAGCGGTTTCAAATCATACAACATATATCCATGTCGCATCATCAAACATTATATTGAAGACATAATGTTTCTTTTTTTTTTTCCTCCTTCATTTTACCTAATTCCTACATTTTAAAAGTATGTGACTTCTAGAAAATCATGGATGAGCATGTCATTAGTTTGTATGCAAAATTTAATGAAACGTTGCACAAATATTGAGCAAGTTTAATTTTTATGTATATATGTAATTGTTTTTTTTATACAAAATGTAAAATTAAAGATTTTATTAAATACTAGATAATTTGAAATGCTTATTTTGCTGATGTCATTTGTATAATTATTTAAGGTTATAACAAAGTAAGAATTAGGTGTAATATTTATGTATTGGTAAGTGTTCTGAAATTTGTTATGCTAAAAGTTAATAATATTTGAATGTAGTTATCACAGATGATAGTATCATGCATTGTGCGGCCATATTAATTAATTAATTTATTTAAAGTAATATACAGGCGAAAGTATATATCTGATGTAGACTGAATCAGCACTAAATATAATTAATTATTTAACTTATCACAATTACAAATCACAGAATCATTTTATCACAATTATCAATGGAAAAGAGTCCAAAGATCATTAAAGTTCATGATCTTCCTGCCTGGAGGCGATCATGGCATGATGACTAGTTGCCGTTATTATGTTCTCGGGTAGAATATTCCAGTTATGTACAACTTGGTCAAAATGTTTTTGAGTTGTATTTGATTGGGCCCATGTTTAATGATTTTCATACTATGCTCTCGTGTTTGCAAATTTTTGGAGCAACAAAAACTGTTGTCAAGATCAGAGTTGTAATACCCTTGTAAGATTTTGATTGTTTCAATCATGCCATCACATTGTCTTCAAGCAGCAAATTTTGGAATTCCAAGTCTCATCAGTCGTTCGACATAAGCCATGTTTTTGAGATCAGTGGGTATACATGTGGCTCTCTTTCGTGAATTTTCTAACAGATTTATATATTTAATAAAGTAAGGATTTCAAGTCACAGTACTAAATTCAACTATTAGAAGAATGTAGGTTTTATGTAGAAAGGTAAATAGGTCGCTTCTTTTTGTGTTGAAGCTTTGGAAACAGCCTGAGTAATCTTTTTTGCAGTGTAACTCGCAAGACTTTTGCATTTGAGATTATTAAAGACATACATTTGAGATTATGATCCCTACATCCTTCATAACCTTGATTTCATTATATTACTTGTAATAAAGCAAGTAGTATTATTGAGAGTGTTTGTTAATGTTGTAGATAAATTGCAGAGATTATTATTTGAATTAGCTTTTCCTGGATAATTTTGCTATAGTTAATATGAGATCCATTGGGAAGAAAATTGATTTTGAAATTTCAAATATCAGGCAATTTAACGACAGATTTGCTCATTCTTCAATTGCTAGCTGACTAACTATTATATTCACATTATGACTAAACTGGCAATTGTAGAAAAGTCATGGATTTGACATGAATTGTAAAGGTACTTTTTCTTTTGTCTTCAATATTCTGGTTATTTCATAAACAGTTGAATTCTTTTTCTCCCTTCAACCTACATAGAAAAGTGAAGAAGTCTTCTGTCTTCTCTAAGCAATTTCACATAGGTCAGGTCCTCTTGCCGGGTCCCCTTTTGTTCTTAAAGGAAACAAATATCGTAAAAGTAAAGCAGAATATTAAACAATAATTGAGTTGTTTTGTTTTTAATTGTCACCATTCTAGTTGTTTAGGAATAAATGACAACATATGTCAGAAATTAATTTTTGAAAAATAGTCATTTAAGTAATTTCAGTTCGTTAAGATCATTTGTTGTTTTTAAGTGAAGTAGAAGTTATTAGTGGATACTAAAATTTTTATCACGTTTATCAGTCCTCTGAGAATGACATTCCAGTAATTTCATTGAATATATTTCATTGATCTACAGGGTGCAGCAACGGCAGTACCTGGTCAGAGAATTGTTCGCTCAACTTTGAAACCTGCAGCAATTCAAAAAACAGCACAAGTTGCTTCAGCTTCTGCACCAAAAAGAGTTGTATTGAATCAGAGTACACAGAGAGTTGTTCAAGTCGCTCCACGCACAGTAATGTTGAGAGGTGCTAACAGCAATAAACTTCCAACGAGCCAGTTACCTCAACTCCAGTCTCAACAGCCAACACCAAGGAGGGTAGTGCAGGCCCAACAAAACAGGCCATCTGTAAGTAATACAGTGAAGAAATTGAATTACCACTTTTGAAAAAAATTCTACTCTTATGTTTGTAAATCTTCTTGTAATAACTGTAGCGAGATCCGAGTTCTATTTTAGAAAAAATATTATTTATTTTCACTGAAAAATTATAATTTTTATAAATAATACTTACAATGTACTTACAATTATTGATCCATTAGTTGCACACGGATAAAAAAGAACAGTTGCAGTATACCAGATCCATGATACTGTAACAGGTTCCCTTGTTACAGTATCATGGATCTGATACACTGCAACTGTTCTTCGTTTTCCGTGTAGATGATTTCAAAATGCAATTGGTTGGGTGCGGCTGTGGCACTCACTTGAACTATTTGAAGGCTCTTATCGTCCATTTGTGCTAACAGACATAAAAATAGTATCGCACTATATAAAGAATTCATCCATAATTTCTCACTTCTTTTTCATTTACATGTTAATTTTTTTTGTAAATAATGCAATATTTTTCATATTATAATGTTACAATGTGAGTAGACAAACAAAAACAAACCCTGTTTTGCCCTTCAGTGGTGTGACGTTTCTGAAGTGGTGTTTATAGTTACTCAAAATGTTCACTTGCTTCTCCCTTCAAATGACATCGTTGACAGACTCATGGTGCATGAAGTGCACTTTATACAATAAAAAATTTCAATTTAAGTTTACTAAGAATTTCTCATTCTATCCTCTTAATGTGTTTCGGTCAGATTAACAGCTTCATAACCTTAGGGTCTTCAGATTCTTTCCGCTAACTGCAATGGCCAGTTTTACCTTCATTACTTATATTCTAAGTATGTCTTAAAAATTTTATGGTAGTCTCAGGAGACTTTGCCACTTCACCATCACCTTTCAAGCAAACTTAAATGATAAGTTCTTCTTAAATTAAAGCAAACCTCTCAGCTGCCCTTGTCTATTTTAAGTCGTGTTTTATGTTGCAAAAACAGTCCAAATGGTGAGCATATCATGGAGTGTTGCTGTGATGGAGTGATAGTGATTGCTGCAATAATTGTGAAGACAAAAGCTTTGAGAAGCTTTCTCCATAAATGGTCTGAACATTTTGAAAAGCTCAATGAAAGAGAGATTAGGACCCAATTTTGCCAACAACCTGCAAATATCTCGCACGGAACACTTTTGCCTAATAACTAATGTTTTGTTTCTAGGTTATGTTTACATGGTCTTGGGTGTATTCTCAACTTGCAAGTTTTACTTTCAATACTTTTATTGCATTTCCTTTTTTACCTAAACCTAAAAATCTCTACAGCGTTATTTAATGTTCGTAATATTTCATCTTGAAGCTTGTTGCTTTAAAATCGTGTTCAGTATTTCAGGAAGTATAATTTTTTGTTGGTTTGTCGTCTGAACTGTGTAGGTGCTTTGACAAAACGCCAGTTTTGACCAAACAGATGTTTTGCTGTCAAGGGATTTTTCGGTTTCAAGGACCTATAAAACATGGATTCTGGCTACATTTTAGAGGAATGTAATGTACTATTTATAGGAATGTTATTTATCCACTTTTTCATTTCCATGCACTGTCAGTAAGAGTTTTTCTGTTCAAAAGTCACCATTTTCATGCGCATAATGATAACACTTTCTCTTCTTATAAACTTAGGGCACGAAAGTGAAAACAGCCACCATTGCAGTAAATAAAGCAAGTACTCGCTTAGTCTCACATTTTTTTTAAATTTCCTGTATTTTCCACCTTTTTCGATCACTCCACTGAAAATTTAAAAAAATGTGTTTTACTAACATACAAAGAATAAGAAATGTATGTATGTATGTATGTATGTATATATGTATGTATGTATGTATATATGTATATGTATATATATGTATATATATATGTATATACGTCTGTGTGTGTGTGTATATATATATGTATATACATGTCTGTGTGTGTGTGTATATATATGTATATATAGAGAAAGTTATGAAATGCTGCTATAAATCCATGACAAAATTGGACAAACGTTTCTTGGGGGTCCCTGAAACCAAAAATTCTCTTCTTGAAAACTGTCCTTCCAAGTATGGATCGCACTAGCACCTACATTATTAATAGGATTTTATCCAAAAGGGAAACTCCCAGGTCAATCTGGATGAATTTGTGAACAAAAGAATTTTTAAGAACTGTTGTTTCCAGTAACGAAGTTTTTAATGGAGTTTAAATTGAACATGATGGATTAGTGCATAATTATGAAAAACTTGATAACATGAAGCTCTTTGTGAATTTCAGAATACAGTACCTGGGCGAACAGTAATTTCAAATCAAAATGCAAGTATTACAGTGACAGCGCAGGCACCAGATGCATCATCTCTACCTCGGACGAAATTAGTAGCTGTTGAAAATCTTGCTGCAAGTACCACTGATTCTCAGTTGCGAAGAATGTGTCAGAGAGTAGGAATTGTTGAAGTAAGTAAAATTCATAAATCTTTACAAAAGATGTATTTATATTCATGTGGAAATTTAATGAGATTCTTTAATTTTTTTTAGAACATCCAAATGATACCTGCACAGCGGAGAGCAGTTATTACTTTTAGTAATCCTACATCTGCCATTACTTTTTTGAAAAGATATCAGCGGAAAATGGTGGACCTATCATTGATCAATGTGAAACTTCTGACATGAATAATTTAATAAATGTAAATTATTCAACTGAACAATAGTTGTAGAATTAATCAACTGAATTCATGAATTCTTGAGCACATCAAGTGAGAAGGTCCAAGGTTACTTACTGGGACTTGTGATGTTTTATTAAACTATTATCATAAATGAAGGGAATTATTTTAAAAATGAGCTGTTACTAACACAGCTATGCTTGCTAAAACATTGGGCAAGTTGCATTTTGGGAGTCTGCACTGAAAGTTTGTGATGGAAACCAACACATTAGCTTCTTGGAAACTACATGCACTCCTATACAGCATATGACTTATGAATTGGAAGTACAACCAGTCATTTTGTTGTTTTCCCTGCAAAACATTTCGTGTTTGACAAACCATCTGAAGTGCTGTTTGAAGAATGGTGGCCAAGTGTTTCTTCTTGTTTGCAAATTGAACTCCAGAATGGACAAAAGAAAGTAATGGAATGTTCTACAATGAAAATTGCATGAATGAATTGGTTGTTATCATCTTATGACTCATCGTTGTCTTCGTCTTAATTGATCAAGTTAGAGAGGTGTAATATGTATATATATATAAATCGCAGATTCTGGTGTAAGTTGAAAGACAAAAATATTAATTGTTAAATGAGGATGCAAAAAAGCTCCAAAACTTCCCTCAATTTTCTGGAAGCAGTTAATTATAATTCTTAGTTATCCAAAGAATTCCCTCTATTCTCCCATTTCTAGATTTTTCCATCCCCAGAGAACTTTGTTGCAATTACTGTATACTACAGCCTTTCCCCTCTTTTCATATTCCTATTTTTCTCTTTTTGGTCATATTTAATTATAAAATTAAGATACATATAATATATATTTGTTAAGTCATGATGTTTTATTTCTGAAGCAAGTGCTTCATTGTACAATGCAATCTAGTGTTTTAGAACTTGAGGGTAAAATACTGAAATTTGTAACTTAATCCCTCCATGTTTCTAAATAGCAATGTAATGCAATACATTTCACAAGAAAGTTCATTACTGAGCAGCTTTCTTGCATTCATGCATTCTTGTAGAATTGCATGTTCATTTGATTGTAATTTCAAACAATGTTATAATTTAATTGTAGAAAATTAGGTTTCCAGATTATGAAAAATACCTTTATATAATATTACTCAAGAAAATGTGTTTAGTGAACTAATGAGGCAAAGGAAACAAATGTTGCAAGTTGATATTTGAAACAAAAGAAGTTAATTTGTTTCTCCAGAAATATTGTATGTGAAACACACCATAACAGTGAGAATTAGACAATCAGTATGTTTTATACTGAAACTGAATCATTTATATTTTTCCCAGTGGACTTCAGATTGGATTTCATAGTTTTATTACCGAGAATGTTATAATTTCCATTGAATTTGATTCATATATCTTTTACTTTGTTCTTTTAACATTGTGTATTTAGGCTAACAGTGTTGATTCTTGTTATAAAAGTTTCTGCATCCATCAGTTATATTAATTATTAATTCCTAGTTATACAATATGATGATAAGTATTTCAGATTAGGGTGTAAAATAGTACACATAAATTTTAAAGATTTTGAATCAAATTTCACAAACAGGAAATTCTCTATTGTATTTTTATGTGATGTCCATGGATAACTTTTCTCCAAAATATGCTATATTAATTGCAGGAGTAAAATTTACTAATAATTTTGTGCATTGATCACTTTAGAAGAATGATGTTTCAGAAGCTAACTTATAAACCAGGAAAACTTGGTGTAATTTACGTTATTCGTGGACAGTAACACATAATTGCAAGGAAACTACTTTTTTTTCCTTTATAGTTTTATGTATTTGAACAAATTGATTTTCTGACTCATAGTAACTGATGAAATTGAAACCAAAATATCTACTCTAAAAAATGTTTCATTGCTAAGTGAATTAGTGGTATAATAACAAGATTAATTAAATATTATAAGTCAGCAATAAAATATGTTGATGTTATTTCACATTGTTTGCCTAAATACAAGGAAGTTCATCATAGTTTCCAATTGATGTGAAGTCACTGTATTCCATGTGTTTAAAAATATTTATGATGTAATAGCAAAGTCAGTAAGAAGTTATTAGCTATGATTTCTTTTGTAAATGTGTATATGGAACTGTTTTTATGTTAGAAAAGTGTACTTCTTCATAAAAAGTTCTGCAAAGACTTTTAAAGTCTTTTCTCTACCAACTCAAACATTCTATTAAATATATTTTAAAAAAATCATAGATGGTAAAATACTTTTTCATTGCCTCTTTCAATTGGCTTTTGTATGATCTTTATGGAGGAAATATTTATGAATTAAGGATTTAATATAAAAATCAAAAGTTTAGAAATTATTTTGTTTAGCAAGATACTTTTGACTGAGAGACTTTTTTAACTTCTATAGTTCGTGTTTTTATTTTGATATTTTAAACTACTCGTTTTTATTATTTATCTTTTAATGACATAATTCACGTAGTTTTTTAATAAGTGTATGTTGTGTTGAATCTGTAATGAAGAAAAATTCTGCCTCTTGAAATCAATTTTTTCTAACCATAGTTATCAAATAAACATTGTGCGAAAGCCAATTGTATGTGGTTGTTAGCTTGTGTAACAGTTCCTCAGGTTCTCCATTATCTTTAAAAGATAATAAAAATGATAGAAGTGATTAACTAGATCTTTACAGTCTCACTAGTCTTAAATATTGATTAAGAACGAAAAATCTCAATGATCAATTTTTTAAATTTTTCTATTCATTCTCGTATCAATATTTTTAAAGCATTTATTTTGTATGTAATATTCCTTGATAAAGAATTGCTATATATCAATATATTGCTTTATATTGACTGTACTGTGTAATTCTGATTTTAATCTTGAAAATCTGGTTTAATTGTATTGTTTTGAGTAAAGTTAAGGGGATTTTTCTTAGGCTAATTTACCTTGCGAAGAGGTTACTGAACTGTTTTTACAAATAAGTTTTGATTGTATGATTTATGGAATGTGTTCTCTAGATTAAAAATCTACAGAAAATAAAATATTTTGACCACGCTGTATGTTTTAAGTTATGTTGTTAATAATTCTGTGATTGATTAAGAGGAAATATTTTGTATGCAAGAGTCAATGTTCTTTAAGCCATTAGTACAGGTTACAATGATCATGGGTGTGGTATGCTGAGAATGTATTGAAGATGTGAAAATTGGACTACTTAGCTAGTTTTGTGGAAAAAATATCAGTAGATATAGACAATTTAATATCAAAGACAAAACCATACAATGTTAACATTTTGTTGGCTTGAGAGAATAGTCTTATGTATTCTCCTTCAATTTTTGTAATGCGTTAATTTCATTAGCAAGTTTTCCAGGATGTTATTAGGTCCAATTTTCACTGAAAAAAAAAAAATTGTAATGTATAAATATATTTTTCAGTCAAAAGCAATTCTAATGCAATATCTTCTAGAATATTTTTGTTGCTTTAATTTCTAGTATCAATTTGCATTTTTCATAAATTGGTTATTATATTTGAATTTCATTTTCCGATTGGTTTCTTAATGTGGAGTTTTTTGATACCTATGTTGTTGTTTATCCAGATGAGAGTATGACTATGCCGTACTTACATATTCTCAGACGTATTTCAAACATAATGTTGCTAATTTTCAATTCCTTCACTTTTAAACTAATGTCTAACATTATTGTTATTTGTATATGTTCTGCACTTTTATCTTTGAATTACTGTAATATTCCAAATACTGTGCACATAGTATTCTTTATACATCCGTGCTTAAAGAAGTTACTAAGGGCTTCAAGAACATGGAGTTTGAGTATAGACATTGTCCATTTGCTCAGAATGTTGCAGAATTCATACTTTCTGTGAGTTTTCAGATCCTGTGTGAATTTTGTGTACATTTTCTTTTGGTATTTCAATTGGACCAAATTTAGATTCTGAAAGGAACAAACTTTTCTGTTATGTGTATAACTGGATTTTGCATATTGGAACCGCAAAGAACAAATTATTGGTTTTTGTAATTTCTTTATATATTGAGAAAATATTTTTCATTATATAAATGAATGCATTTTAAATTCATATCTATTTGATGCAAATTACAATCGTTGTTAAGCTACTTAATATTTTATGTAAATAATACATTTAGTAGAACATTAGTTTTTATTCTCCTGAGAACTGAAAATTCTTCATATCATTTTGAGCAATTGAGTTAGAATATACTTTTTTCAATATGTATTAAAATTCTCAATTTGGCATGTACAAACTGTTATTGTACACCGTTTCTTAGGTCAGTATTGGATTGTGATAAGTGTTCAAAAGAGACCTGCTAATGATTTTACTTCTGAACGTAAATTTCTTTGTGGGCATTAATTTTTGTTAATATTACTTCAGTTCTAATGATGTTACTGATTACACACACATAAGAAGGCGGACTGTATCTGATTCGTCTGTTTTTTACTACATGCTATGACATGTTCAAAGGGTAAGAAACAACTGAATCCAGGTGAGTTTAATCTACATATTTATGTATGTTTAAAGAGAAAAAATTTAATATAATTTTTGCAAGACCAAAGATTTGTGTAGAGAGAGAGAAAAAAGTACAAAAAATCTGATTATGAAGATTTGTATTACATGGAAAATTTAAGAATGTAACTCAAAGTAAATGTATAAAGATATCACCTTTGTACATTTCATTTTAGTCATCATACATTAGTTTATTTTATTAGTAAAATATTTAATTGTCACCTTATTGGAGAGGTAATTTAGTCGGAAATATGTTCCAATAAATAAGCATCCAAGATGTGACCTTGTTACTGAGTAACCAGTGTATTTTTTATTTGTTAAATTTGGTCAAAGAATTGTTAACCCAATCAAAACATGAACCTGGTTCTCCTGGTTTACACCCAGTTGCTTTAACTTTCATTCTCTTATTGCTGAGCTAATGAGAGAACCAATTCTTTAAATGGTTTCAAGGCCTGAGTTTTACCTGTTGTGCAATATTTAATTGTCACCACCTTGTCACCTTATTGGGGAGGTAACTATGATGGACATATGTTCTGTAACAGTAAATTCATCCAAGATGTGACCTGAGAAAAAGGCCTTGAAACTGTTCTGAGATTTCGTTGTCTCCTATACCTCAGTGATAAGAGCAACTGCAACCAGGAGACCTGATCGAAGTGACAATTCTTTAAACAAATTTAGTTATTAAATAAATGTAGTATTTATATGTAGATGTTTAATTTAAATAGCATTTTATTTAATTTGCTAATCAGAGTTTTTGATCTCTTTTAATTACTGCAGAAAAGAGATTTGTAATAATTTTATTCAACATATTGTTATTTTTACATCCAGTTGTGTTCCAATTTTTTCTTTTTAATGTGAGCTTTATTATTGTACTTACAATATTTATTTGTTTACTGTGTAAATAAAATATTTATTTTTTCTCTCTTTCAGATACTATTGTATTACAATTGCAATTGTGCAATGTGCATTTCTATTCCTAAAAGAGATGCAGTTAAATGTGATTCATGAAGTGACAAATCCACTGCGTAAAATTTAAGAGATGATAATAAGATTATGATTGCCTATAAGTGTTGAGTGAATTCATGATGAGGTAAGTTTTTCTTGACTTGATTATTGCAAAAACAATTTTATTGTTTTTTCATTAAGATTTTCCTGTGTATTTAATTGAGACTTGAATAATTGAAGCTCCTGAAGTACATAGGCTAAGTTTCTGTTTGGGGAGAAGCCAGTATTTATAAATTTAACAATTAATATTTCCTTTACTTTCAAGTGTACAAATAAAAGAAATTAAGCATTGAAAGTGGGCTTTGACATCCTTTATGTCTTTTTTGTTTCTTGATGAGGGCACTTCTTTTTTATGATAATCTTTGGTTTTCTGCCACATCTAAAATCTGCCAGGTGACAAGGTTGACTTATTTTGAGAATTAAAACAAATTTGGTCAGATATACATGAAAATTATTTCCTAATAGATGTACTTTTATTTGCATTGCCACAAGGTTTTGAAAATTAGACTGCACTGAATTCTTTATCAACATCAAGGCCTAGACCAATTGGTGTGTTTTTGTCACCAACATCATCTCTCCATCTTCTTTTGGGTTTCTGCCATTCCATTATGGCATTGTCACCATATAAACTAAAAGAAGCAAGAGACTGTGGGAATTCTTGTTTTGCTCCTCTCTTTATTTCTGCTCTTTTCTGTGAATTCTTGTTCCCATGTCAGTACATATTTTATTATCAGTATACAAGCTTTTTGTCACTTTTATCAGATAGTTTGAAACTGCCTCTATTCTAAGAATTACCCACTGCTTTTTTCTGGATACTGTGTCAAAAACTTTCAAGAAATATAGGAAGAGAATCCAGGTAGGGAGGTTGTGTTCTCTACGCTTCTGCATCAGTTGTTCCAAAGACATATTCTGCATTTGATCACCCTCTCTGGAAGCCATATTGTATTTTTCCCAATATGGTTTCATTGATAAAATTCATCCTTCTTGTTATAATTTTAGTGAATATTTTTTAAGTTGCATTTGAAAGACCACGTGTAGGTGTTGCAATCTTGTCATTTGCCTTTTTTTTTTAATGAGATATTATGCTCACTTTCTCTTTTTAAAAAAAATAGAAATATCATGCTTATTCTTTTGGTACTTTATATGAAATCTAGTATGTGTAAGATTCAGTAATCTTGCCTTCATTTTTAACAAAACATATTTTACATATTCTGAGTCAAAACTAGAAAAACAAAGCAGTGATGAAGATTTTCTGGCAGTAACAACACTTCAGTTCAGATTCATGTGAATATTTGCATAGATCATGAAGGCATCTAAAATAATGGAGAATTGAAGGATCTATTATTGATATAGTGTTTCAAGTACAACTAAATATTTCTATTTAGATGCAAAGTAAACGTTTCATTAGATTATTGAGTAAACAATCTGACCTACTAGTAGCAGTCTGTTAGTCAAAAAAACCATAAAATGTTGAATGTCTCGTTTGTTATAGAAGTTTAGATAGTTCATTGCAATTTTTTTTTTTCTGTTCTTTTTCAATTTTCAAGTCCTGAAATAAAATTTTTATTTAAAACAGGTTCAGTTTTTTTCTTAAACTTCTGAATTTTCAAAAATTGCTCATTATAAAATATATCCAAATATCATTGTCTCTGCCACAGTTTTAACTTTTTCTTAAAAATGTTCAAATGAAGTGCTGTTTCTAAGACCTAATTTTGATTAAATTTCATAATTGTCGTTGGAAGGGAGTGGTGGTGAAAACATAATTTGAAAATGTAGCGTTTTTTTAATTAATAATGTGCAATACCAATAATCCATTATCAGAAAGTAAACCACCTTGTTAATTAACTCTGTTCTGTAAATATTGAGCTCAACAATATTTTCTGTACATTTTAAAAATTTGTAGATAAATTGTTTATGGGTGTGGGAACTTAAGTATTTAAATCTGAAGAAGCCATTTAACATTGAATTGAAATCACTATAACAACAAATTCTGGAAAACATCATTCAGATATGCAGATTTAGTAATTCTTAAATAAATTGTTAGTCATAAATGGATTAATAAAGACTATTTTTCTGAAAACATGGGGCTAGAAAGTTGAGATAAAGAATAGTGTGATGTTTTTAAGTGTTTTTTTGAAACTTTTGTGAAATATTAAGGAAATCTTACAAGAACATAAGGAGCAATATTATTATTATTATTATAATTATTATTATTATTATTACAACTTTATGTAACTGTTACAAATCCCACAAGAAAGTTTGTGCCAAGTTGTTGTATTACTAGTTAAATATTATTTATCTTTTGAAGGTATGAATAAGAAGAAAAAAGGAAGCACGGAAAATAATTCTTGAAATGGTACAATAAAAGTTGCCTAAAATAGACCCTTTTTTTAGGTACCTAGACAAATGGAAATTTCTCCCCCAAACATACCATTTTAAAACAAGGAAAAGTCCAGAACATTGAAATGGAGTCGCCTTTGCCCACCATTATGAAAGTAACATTATTAAACTATTGCTATCAAAGTCTTGTCTCACTGTGAGGCATTGTGGCCTAGCTAAGCCCAAGGAGTAGTGTCTTCTTAACCCTTACTCTGACAAAATCTGAAGTACTAAAGTTTTCACATTCTTGTAGTTATATCTTTAATATAAGATAGTGTAGCATGCCTCTGATAATGTTGATTAAGTTTTTAATGGATAGCTTCAAATGAAACATTCTTTTTAGCATGTTTGAAGTTGCAAAGGGTATTTTAGCCAGCTGTGATTGTCATTGTGCTGTTGAGAAGTCCAATATGGTGCTTTCTAAGAAGCAAAATTTGACATTAATAATAAATAGAAGCATTTGCGATAGAAGTTTCAGAAGTTTTAATTATTGAATGTATAGTCAGTTTACATTTTTTCATAAACAAAAAATACAATGATAGTACCAAAATCCATTTTGAATTTGGAAAATCTAAAAAGGAATTTGGAACATATGGAAATTTATTGAAGGCACAAAATAATTATATCTTAAATGTTTCATTATTCTGCAATTTATCCAACTCAGCAGTTGGCAGTTGATAGTTTCATCCAATCTGGAGCTTCAACATCACCATACAAACATCACTATTGTTGGATAAATTGCAGTATAATTGAGAGAAAATTGTAATGTTTCTCCTCTCCTTTAAAAAAAAATATTGAAGATATCTTTAAACATGAAGGTGCTACAGGTTTTAAAAATGTATCATGATTTTCCTAAAATTCTCTGTGGCTCTTTTTGCAGCAGTGGACTGGAGTAAATTGACCTCAGAGAAAAACCAAGAGATCTCTGACTGCAAAATACATAGAATTTTGAATTGTACAAAAAATAATGACGGATTTTATGACCTATGTTTTCCATTTTAATGCATACCATTATATTTATGGATCCGTGTAATCCTTTTCTATCAAGTTGGAATCCCATATCAAAGTGTTTCAAAATTCAATCTGAAATAGAAAAAGTATCAAATTTCAATGCAAAGTCTCAAGTTGTAGTGTATTTTTAATTTTAGTTTGTTTATTTTTTACAGTCTTTTTATTATTTATTATTAATCCTTGTGAAATGAAATCTTCTGGGAAAAGAAGTTAACTTTAACTGTCGTGATTGGGGTATTTTAGTGTATCTGAATTTTCTCCTAACTAGATGCTCCATTTCATTGAAAAAAATAATATTATGAAGAGCATTATTAGCTAAGTCTTTTTTAAAGAAAAATTTGATGTGTTGCTGTGTTCTAACTTCACACATTAAATATTCTCTTTTCAACTCTAAATCATTGTTCACAAAAAGAATTTTTGTTTTATTCAGATTATTGATTGATATCAGATATCAATTTTACGTGGTTCTTGTTTCAGGTAATTCCTAGGAAAATATCAAAGATTCTGTGCAAATAAAAAGGAGTTGTCTTTTAGTCAAACAATCTTTTAATAATAAATTTTAATTTTTTCACAAATGTGAGCAAAGAGAAAAAGTGTACAATTTTCCTTTTCTTAGACTGGCTTAGTATTTCCAAGCATGTAAATGTGGGGCACAAAATGCTGTAGCATATTAGATATCCTTATTTGCATTAAAATGCAGTTAGGTGCCCAAAACTATGATAAGAAAATATAATATTTTCAAACTATGAAAGTAGATTACCTACTTGGGACATTTGTAAATTAGACTTTAGATAATTCCAGGAAAAGTATTATCTTTTAATTGTTATAAATAATTGTTTAATTATTGATTATAAGTTACATTCTGAAAATTCAATGTTGGTGCTTTTAAATTGTGTTGGGTATTGATTTGCATTGCAGTGGTAGATTTCAAATTGCATTGTGGATCCTGATCCATTTTAATTGAACTCGCTGAACATTTGAAGAACACTCCTTCTGAGTAAAGATTCAGAATTTTTGGTGGAGTCAAAAACATTTGATGCATGCACCAAAGAGACTACAAAATGACTGGGACTTTTGGCGTCATTATTAAACTATTGATATTGGTTATTAAACTTATGACTTGGCTTTATAATTGTGCATTTATTCTCTGAAAAGGCAAAAATACAGGTTGTATTTTCTTAAAAATAGGCATTTTATATTGTAATGAAAGTTACTTTTTGGAATAAATTTTATTTTATTTCACTCTTTGGTCGGTATAGTCAATTAGATTACTTAAAATATATGAATAATAATATCCTGATCTTACTTCTATTTCCAACTATTTTATTCCAGTTATATTAGTATATAATACTGTATAAAAATTAAGATCTAAATGGTAAAACATAATTATAGTGAATAGAGACATTCTAAGAACTACAATGAAATACACTTCTCTACAATCCCCCGGAATACAATGATTTTCCTTAATTTGCCTGGCAAGCAAATCCTCTTCTATTTGTTTGGAATCTGTCTTTCATAACTCAATATAAATTTATAAACAATATTGTAGCATATTATTTAATATTTTTACTCTTTCTCTAGTGTTTGGAGGCTTTACCCATTAAAATGTTTGATAAGAGCTAAGAATCCAAGTTAGTTGATTACCTTGGATTGATTTGAGCTCTTGCTGGCTGTAAGAAGCACCGATGATGTACTGAGAGTAAAATTCTCTCTCCTTAAGATGATTTGTCTTTAAAACACGCTTGTAGATGGCCAGTATAATTAAAAAACAAAAATGAAATAAATTAATCGACAAAAAACAAACATTTTCAGGCTCTAACACTGAAAGAGACCTTTTTGACTCTATAAAAGTGGTTTCTGTAATATCACAAAGGGATGGAATGTGTATATAATTAACTTTGAGTGTCTCCATCAAAAGAGTAAAAATAGGCACTTGCCTAAAAGTCCAATGTCTTGTCACAATGGAAAAGCATGAACAGTACACATTTTACTTCGGACGAGAAAGATTGAAGAAACCTGAAAGAAAAAGAAAAGGGCAAAGGGATAATGAAGGTAAAGAATACAGAATATCTCCACATACCAATAAGTTTTAAGAACTAGTCAATTTTAATTTTGTCAGTTTTTAAGTGAGTATTTTTTTCATCATTAGAGTAAAATAGATCAGTAGTGGAGGTGAGAAATACAGCTTATTAGGTAATAAAACTTATTTCAATATATATTTTTTAATGAAATTCCTTTGATCGATGATATTTAATTTTAGATATTTCAGGTTTTTTTTCATGATCCTTGTGTAGCTCTAATTTAAAGGAGTGCAGTGAGACTTAGATTCTGAAAATAGCCCTTTGTTGTTGTTGTTGTTTTTAAATGAGTATAGTTACCTGGAAATTATTTTAAACCAATGCTGCAGACCTCCCACATTTTAATTTTTTTTTTATTTTGAAATTCTGATTTACATTAGAGGATGCAAAAGAGAACCAGAAGAGATGGCTTACATATGTCTGCAGAATGAAAGGGGAAAGATTGCAAAAAGCAGCCTTAAAGTATAAGCTCACATGGGAAAAAGATGTAGGAAGCCAAAGAAGAAATGTATCACTCACTAACACCTGGAGAAGTAATCATTAGGTCAATTGCCAAAATAGAAACCAGCAATTTGCCTAATTCACCTACAGTTGATGGTGATGGTGATTTCTAGTCAAAAATGATACATGAGAAATGTCAATGCCTTTACAATATATAAGGGCAACTTTTTCAATAATTAAATATGTTTTAATCTAAATATTGGTTTTTCTGCATTTGTAATTTTAAGAGTATTTTGTTCAAATCCTGTGTGAATTTTGTTTCAAAAATATGGTGGAGGAAAGCATCATATTGGTAATTTATCTATGAAAAATAAAATTTGTTAACTTCTTAAAACAGTTGAAGATAGTAATTTTTTGTTAAGAGGTGGAAATGGTTGTTTTTTTACACGATGGAGAGTAAAGGTTTGATTTTTCTAATATTGGTTATCCAATTACATCTTTTTTTCTTTTTTCTCTTCATCTCTACTCGGTTATTGATTTAAATTCCTATCTTGGTGTAAGTTTTTTTTGCATGGTGAAGTGACTGTTTTTTGATACCTTAAGAAATTACTTGATTTCATGTGAGGTAACATGTATGTGTGTGTACCCATTTTTTATACGATGGAAAAAAAACTGCCATTACTTCAAAAAACACTGCTTTTTAAATTGCAGATACTTGAAATTAATGTGACATTAAAGTGAATGTACATCCAATTATACAAACTGAAAGGTGATTCTAAGAATAAAAGTATCTTAATTGAAAGAATTTGCTGTATAATAATATATCATATTGATAGAAGTTGATACCAACATTCTGCCATCATTTACATAAACACATATTGCCAAAAATGTGAGAGTCTTATTGGGAATAATTGTTTTCTTTTCTAGGTCTGTAGTGAATTCAGTTCCCTTGTGTTTCTATAGCTTCATTACTCAATAAAAAAAGGTGTACCTAAAGATTTTACTGAAATGCCCAGACTGGAGGTGTTCACAAAATGCAGTCTTTCAGAAAATTAAGATAAAAAACTGAATTTTTCTATCTGTAACCATAATCAGGTTCAAGCTTCAGGGAAGGACAGAGTTTGATAGAAAGATACTAAGTGTGCCATGGTGTATTGTTGAATTTTCTAAAAACTAAGAGAACATTAGGTTGTGTTTGCAAACCGAATTCACAAGTGTTCTCACATTAGGTTTAAAGTTTAAATAAGAATTATTAAACAGTGTTCTTTACATTTGTTTATGTACCTGATAAAGATAGAGATTAATAGAGATATTTGTATTAGAAAATGTATTAATATATTGTCTTTTTACAGGCTGTGCATTATGCTGTGGTTATATGAGATGCATTTTATTACAAAAAATGATGACAAGTTGTTAAAGACTTTATGAATGAGAAACTGTCTCATATTTTTTATAACATTATTTTCAAATGATATGTATATATAATTATATATGTATGCCATTGCATGTAAAAATAAAAATATTTTATAAAACTTACGGTATATCTTATGTTCATTTCCCATGCTATTTTTATTTGGTTTCAACACCTTGATTGAACTGCATTGGATTGAATAAATAGTACTATGTTAAAAATGCAAACATTTTTGATATTTTGAACTACTGTTATCAAACTAGCCTCAACATTTTCAAAATTTTCTCAAAAATTGCTGCAATCTTTTTTTATAGACATTGACCTTGGAAAGCATAAAGAAACAGTAAAAGAAAAACTCATGTCTCATTTTAAAAAAAACCCTTGATTTTTTGAAAAATCAAAAGTTTTGTATTTTGTCGGTACTTTCCTACAATCGCAATATTATATAGAGATTTTTTTCTTAACGGAAAATTTTTGATCAAAGACAATCTTGAAATAAGGTCATTTTGTAACAATTTGTCGAAAATATTAATATTTTGCGTGAAATATGGGCAACTTTTAAATAAAATTTTTCCAAATTCTTTTTTTAAGTTGTCGAAAGAACTGTGAAAAAAATTGTTCTTTCTTTTTCGGTAATTATCGTAATTTTGGTAAGTATTTTCGAAAATTGCGAAAAATTAATCACATTGATTTCTGTGTAAAAATAAAATGCTTAAAAAAACTAAATCTGTTGCTCATGTTATATATTTCCAAAACTAGCAAGTTTCTGGTAATTTCTGCTTGTAGCTAATGCATGCTTGTAGCAATGCATTTGTATATACAATTTGAATTTTTTTTGTTATATTTACATTGTAAGAACCAAACGACGTTAAAACTAGTGGTGCTAAAACACCACTTTCTCGCCCGCATTTTCACGTAAAATTATTTGAAAAGTACTCAAATTTTCGAAAAATCATATAAGACCATATTTCAAAATATATCTTCAAGGAACAGATTTCATGAAGGAGAAAATATCTTTAATATTTTAGTTGTAGGAAGGCTCCGATTTTTTTTTGGAACTTTGCAATTTTTAAAACAAGAAATTGCAAAATCAGTTTTAACGAATATGAGACCTGCACCATTTTCTTAAACATCCTTCACACTATCATAAAAAAAAAACAAAAAAAAAAAACGATGGAGCAATTTTTTTTTGAAATGTTACAGGAGCTTCATGTAAAGTATTCTGTAAAATTAAAATGTTTCAAATTTCAGGGGTCGCAACATCAGTCAGGTCGGTTGGGGAGTATCAATTTTGGAGAAAATTGGCTGAACGGTTTAGCCGCTGGAATTTTTCCCAGACAGGCGTTTTGCCTTCAATGCCAGATGCCAAAATTTTCACTGGTTCCATTTTCGGCGAATTCGCTGTATTTACAAAAATTAACATTGTAAAAGTGCAATACTGAAAGTAAAGATTGTTTGGTAAATGAAATCAGGTCTGTAATGGGAGTCCTTTAAATTTAGAAAAAATCATTAGCACGTGGTCACCAAGTTTAGGGGTTTATAATAAGTAATTTACTAACACATTCTGAGATCTGAATGATTTAGTGCGTGATACCGAAGAAACTGATTGAACTTTTGATGGTTGCGACTCTAAGGATGGAAACTTCATCTCGAATCTAGTTCATGCTATTTTCGAACTTGTCGAGAAGCATTTGAGGATTTTTTTTTATCAAGAAGGTGATGTAATGTACTGCAATATTCCATAAGTGCTAGATGCTGTAGACCATGTTCATAATCCAGTGAAATTGCATTCCTTTATTGATTCATCAAAAATTAGCGTAGAAGCTGCCCTCCTTCTCAATGAGAATAAACTGCAATCAGTTCCACTTGCCCGTGCTATCAATACGAAAGAAACCTATGAAAATATGAAGATAATTGTAGAGAAGTTTCAGTATGAAAAATTTAACTGGAACGTACGTAGGAGGTTGTTGATATATTTTTGGATTTGGGCTATCGCGGAGTTGTGGAGGGATGTGTGGATGTGGGGCATTTTGTTTTGGGATCGTATGGAGTTGTAGATGGTACACATGGGTGGGCGGAGAATAAGGCGGATGTTGTGGTTTTCGACTCGGGTTAATATTGTGCAGTTGGTGTGGGATGTAGCCAACCAGGTGGGATGATAGGATGGGACGGATGTAGGAGTTGTAGGTTTGGATTTTGCTCTTGGATGGTTTTGTGAGGATGGGGTATAAGTTTGGTGGTCCTGGTTGCTTTGACTAATTTTGTGGAAGAGGTGGGACCAAAGGAGTCCGCGGGAGAAGGTTAGACCAAGGTAGAATGTTTCTGGTGTTCAGGAGATAGGTTCGTTTGCAATGGATAGGGGAGGGGGTTGGATGGATATGTTTTGTTGGATAACAGGATGGCTTGGAATTTGGATGGGTTTGTGGCAATGGAGTTTGTGAGGCCCAGAAGTGAAAGTTGTTTAGGGATTCTTGGAGGTAGGATAAGGAACGGAAGGGTGCTAGGAGGACAAAGACGTCGGCATAAAGGAAGGTTTGTATTCATAGTGTGGGTGGGTCGTCATTTATATAAATGTGGAACGCCAGCTTGGACTCGGTAGTTGGGAGGTTTTTGATGTGTCGTATGTGGAAGGAGCGATGGTTTAGGTAACTTTGGAGTAGGGCGTGGTTATGATCGGGGATATGGTGTGCTTGTTGTCAATCAAAGACATCTCTTCTCAATAGTCATTTCCTTTTAGAGAGCATGAAATTATCCTCTATAACTAATTATCCTCGCGCTTTCTCCAATTTCACTTTCTCATCCTTACTTCCTAAGAAGAAAAAGTATTGTAATCTTGCGTCGGAAAATGGCAAATTTCCGACAGAACATCTTTTATAGCCGAGCTCTGTAAATGGAAAAGTGGATAATCCTTAATTGGCAATAGAATATCGTATACACGACCAATATATGGGCCCAAGAAAATGTTGGGAGCACTGATCTTCTTGTAAGTACGTAGTGAGCTATTGAACGGTTACTAATTTTCAATATATATTAGACTGCATCAGCACGTCTTAAATCATAATATTGTAAATGATAGTGCCAATAGTATCAAATAAATCTAACCTGATTACTTACCTTTTGTTTTTCGTTGAAAAATACACGTCACCTCAAAAATCTAAACAAATGCGTAATTTGTTGCTGGAAAAATTCAAGTCAGGAAAATTGAAATAGATTCCAGATAATTCAGAAAAATGTTTGCAGCCAAGCATTAAGTCAAAGCAAATTTTAATACCTAATTAAAATTAACGATGAAACTTTAAAAATATGTACTAGAAATATCTCATCGTTTCTAAAATAATTCTATATTAGTATCAAATAAGTTTGAGGGTTTTCCATTAAAATGATGTGAAGTGTAAACGATTAATAAATTTATTGTCAACAACTGAAGCGTGAAAATGAGAGTTCTCTCTCTATCCCAAACCAAATCTTTGAACGTAAGCGCGTTAGAATTTTCCTTGTCCATATATGTCCGCGTTTTTGATTTCGCGTCCTCTCTCTCTCTCTCTCTCTCTCTCTCTCTCTTCTCTCTCTCTCTCTCTCTCTCTCTCTCTCTCTCACATTCTCTCTCGTTCATTCTCTCTTCTCTCTCTCCTGCTCTTCTCTCTCTCTTCTCTCTATCTCTCTCCTCTGCTCTCTCTCTTCATTCACCTCTCTCTCTCTCCTCTCTCTCTCTCTCCCTTCAGCTCTTCTCTCTCTCTCCTGCTATCTCTTAATCCTCTGGCGTTTCTGCTCGCTTCTCTTCTCCTCTTCTCTCCCCTTCTCTCTCGCCTCTCTCTCTCTCTCTTCTCTCTCCTCTCGGCTCTTTCTCATCTGATCGTTTCTTCTCTCATCTCTCATCTGGCTCTATCTTCTGTAATCGCTCTCTCTCGCCTCTCTCTCAGATCCCTCTCTCCTCTCTTCTCTCTTTCTCTCATCTCATCTCTTCTTCTCACCTCCTCTTCTCTCGTCATTCTCTCTCTTGCATTTTTCGTCTCTTCTTCTTCTTTCTCCTCTCTCTGCTTCTGTCTCACGTCTCCTCTCTTCTCCGTCTCCAAGCACAATCTCCTTCTGTTAGGCTTGGTTTTATGTATCGATTTTCTCATTTCATCTCTCCTCTGCTCTTTCTCAGACAATATAGCCAGAACAGCGAGAGTTTCATAGAACCAAAGTAACAACGTACAGATTGTAGTTATGTAGTTCGAAATTGGACACAACATGTAACTGAAGGAATGCAGCCGATTGGCAACTTGCGCGATTTATTCGTTCGATGTTTTAGCGCCTCGGGGCACATTCAAGCGCTTTTGTCAATGTATATCTCGAAGAATTCTGTTCACGTGTGAACATTTCGGTTGTACTTTCGGGTCGTCATCGTTGCTTGGTGCAGCATGATTAGATTCGGTAATTAGCGTTTGGTTGTAGCATTTTAGGGGTTCTTTTCTCTAAATTGCTTCGTCTAATAGGGGCATATGTGCTATAGTTATATAATGAGTTTTCGGAGGGCGCAATTTTTAAAAGATCCTTCGAACATTGTATTCTGTCGCTGCCTCCATACGCACACACGCCAACTGTTTTGAGTAGGGATATGATTGAATTTTGAATTATGTATAAACGGGTATAGTGCATATTGGGTAGGATTGCCACTTGCCCCAATTTCAGAAAATCCGGGAGACCCTCTGGCGACCTGCGGGGGGGGTTAATTAACTATTTATTGCTAAATAAGTGTGTATGTGGAGGTGATGGTGTTTAATTTATAAAATTAAGTTACTGTCTCATCTATTTATGTAATTCAAATATAAATAAAAAAATAAAAAATGAGAAGAATATGTTTGCTTAACTTTATAATCGGAAAAGTTTAATGCTATTATGTGCAGGTGTTGTATGTAGACTATAGCCGTGTTCGATAGTTGTTGTGATCGTATGTATTCGTTTTTGTATATACGATTGAGCAGGACAACTTTTCTCGGAGCAAATATTCTTTAGAACTGTTTTGTGTTGCTCGAATAAATAGTTAGATCTTAACTTCTGGGGTTATTTCTAATTACAAAGGATTAAGATTAATTATTTTATTAGTTATAGGAGGATATGTAGGAAACTTTGTTATGTAACAATCTTACCTGTTATAATTATTCGTTTTTGTAGAGCGGGGGCATGGACGCATTTATTTCATAATTATGTTATTTGTATAATTTAATATGTTGCCAGGCCTTTGAATTTCGACGAAAATGACGAGAATTCGATCTTGTTCAAGAAGAAGATCTCGGAATAGCAATTCGGGGTTATTTCTGAATATTGTTTTGCGCGATGGGCGCGTATTCTCCGCAATGAAAATCGCTAGAGTGGCTGTCTCTGAATAGTGTCGTAAGAAACGAAAGATGATGGGGACTTAACACCGAGAACTCCGGCACACCAATTTTTCATGTTCTGCGCTACTTGTTATGTCTTTCTAATGAGAAGGAAAGGGGCCAGGGATTTTCTGTATGGAATAGAAAGCTTTTAAATTTTTTTTTTTAAAGTTATAAAAATCTAAATTTTTTTGGTTAAAAATTTTGAAAATTGTATGAAATTTTTGACAAAAAATAAAACCGGGAGATAATTTTTCAAAAATACCCGGCAAGGGACCGCTGGAGATTGAAGGCTCAAAAAAATCGAAAAAAACAGGGAGTCTCCGGGGTGCTAAAAACGGGAGGGTGTCAACTAGAAAATTTGGACGCCCTCTTTGACGTTACGGAATCATACGCTAAAAAATGAGGTGCGTTGTGCACTTAAACAATCGAGTGGCCTTTTATGATGTACGATAGCGAGACGAGCTTTATAAGCTCAAATTGGACGTACTAGTTGGTAGGTTTTAGGAAAACGTAATCTTTGTAATGGGAAGATAGGAAGAAGGCTGGTTTTAATAAGTTTTTTTTTTTTCGGCAATTTATTTTCGAATTTTTTTTCTCGACGGTAACAGTTTGACAGCTGTGCATAAAAGCAAGCAAACAAACATTTTTAAAAACGCTCCCCCCAACGGCCCACCCCGACAGTAAATTGCCCCTGTCCGCCGTCCCCTCTAGGGAATACTTGGTCCCAGCCCGGGTGTTCTGTGCCTCACGAGTTAGATTGTGGGGCGTTACAACAACTGATTCGCGCGCATTTTGCGGCATTGTCATTTTTTCTTATATTATACGTTTTGGGATCGAGCCAACTTACTTTGTTTAGATATCGAGTTTGTATGCGTGGTTTTTTAATAATTGATGTATTAGAGAGTGGCTGGAGTGAGTAAAAGTGGTCCTCTCCGTGGCATAATGGTCCACGGGGTGCTGGCAGATGCTCTTTGGGCAATTGTGCGGGTTTTGTTTGCTTCATTAATACTGTTTCATGATCATGATGGGGATTGTCTGCTGGGAGATAGAGATTAACAAGTGGTGGGTGATGGGGGGGGCGTGGGGGGGGAGACCCTTGTGGTATCTATCTCTGCTTTGATTAACCTGACCCCAAGACGCTGGGGTTTGGATTTTCGATAGTTGTTGGATGTGTTACTGCAAAGGTTTGGTTGGGATGAAGGATAGTTTTGTGGATTAGCTCTTGTAGGTGATGTTAAGAAGTTTCAGCGGCAATTAGCTTTGTTTTTTTGTTTTATTGAAGTTCGACGGCATTTCAACTACTAGGTCCATTAGGGACCACTAATTCTGCTTGGTTATTATAATGGTATGGTAACTGTGGGTTGTACAACGATAATTGATGATTGTGGGTGGGTGAAAGGAACGGGAACACAATTCACCTCAAAAACCATGCGAGGCGGGACTGTCGGAACCCGGCGATCCTTGCGGTCCCGAGTTTCGCGTAGCGGCATCTTGCCTTAGCGGATCTGGTCAGCGGGGATCGGCTGTCAAACTTCACTCTCACGGAATACAAAGTTTTGCGGAGTGCAGGATTTACTTCATCTCGGCCACACTCGTCAACGCAGGCAGAACAAGACTGGCGTGGGTTTAAAACAGCCGCGAGTTGGTAAATTGTCTTTCTTACCTTCACCGTTTCTCGTCGAGTGTACACTAACGAGGTCAACACTTGGCACATGGCAATTGGGCAGCATAAAAATACACTGCTACTACTTAAATAATAATCAATATTAATAATAACAACAGCAATATAATACTGTAATTACAAAAAGAGAGGACAACTCTAGGTATATGTACCTGTGGGATCTATTTTATATATATTTTAAGCATATCATCAGATTCAAGGAATGACTAGTATTTATTTTTAGACAGATTTTGGTCAGGCGGTCTTTCGAGGAAAGGGGAATCCGAAGATTTTTTCCACAGGCAGACTGTTCAGTCCTTAATAGTGGCGAGATGTAGCGAATGAATATTTCCCACGTCGTTGTTTTCCTCTTTTCGCCTGAATTCTTTGGTCCCTGTAATTTTGTGTGGTCATTGTGAATCCTGCTCTGCTCGAAGATCGATATGTAGGGTTTCACCTCTAATCGACGGACTGCTTTGAATTTCTTTCCCCGCATCGGAAGGTCTGTGTACGCTTTTATGACATTTGCAGTAGAGACGGTGAACATGTTCAAGTCTGTGACTTTACTTGAAGTCGAGTGTGACTCCCATGAAGCGGGGGGCGGCTGTTAGATGTGTCTTGGGTACTGTAGGTCTGAAAGTAATTTGATGGCCGGGTGGTACGTGCTGGGACCTTTTTCAGGGCTGTAGAATTTATCTTTGTTAGGTGCTGCAGCATAATTCTGTGTGTGGTCCTCCCAACCAATGACTTGTTTTGGATGGGCACGAAAAGAGTGTATGGGGGTAGAGGAGGGGGGATGTTGAGGGAATAAGTGAAGGATGGGGTGGGGGGTGTGGGATGTGTTGTATTATGGGAGGTGAGGGATGGAGTAAGGGAGGAGGGGGAAGAAGATGAGAAGGAAGGATAAAAAAAACGGGACGGTGGTAGATATACCACTAGGGATGACGTCCCGAATAGGTACAATACGGGTAGTGGATCTGATCTATGGGTTTGCGGCGTTGGACTTTTTTCAGATGACAGAGCGATGCGTTCACGACTTGAAACTGTAAGTATGGATAAAATAAACATCGTATTTGTAAACACAAAGGTTTAAGTACGAGAGGAAAAGTGGAGAGGGGGTGATCTTTAGGGGGTGAATTTAATAATTATCAAAAACTTCGTGAAATCTACACTAGGATCTTGAAATATATGATACCATTATATGTCAGTTGTATGGAAAGTCAACGGAAGCTAGGGGTGATAATGGTATGGTAATTAATTTATTATGAGATTCGGTTACTGTGTTGTTTGACAATTTTTGTCCCAATCGTTTTTGGATTTTGTTGATGAGAAATCGACTTATTGTTTACTAAACAAGTTGCACAACATCAGTAAAATAATGTGCAGTCATTTTGCATCTAATCAAAACGACTTCTAGTAAAGTGGTATATTCAAGTTTAATAAACTGGGTGAAGCTTTTAAATTATAGTCATTTGTTTTATTTTTTTGCAAGATAATCTTATGAGTTCGACTAACATCCTTGGTTTAATAGAGATTCGATTGGTAGCGGTTTTAAGACAACGGACTATTAAAAAGAAAGAACTCGGGAGAAAGAATAATGTCAGACATTAGTTTGACCATTTGTTGACGTTAGTTTTATTTGTATAATTATGAAATCATAATAATTTTTTTTAAAATCTGGAACGTTAGCGGAAGACGTTCGCACAGCGGGCTGGATTTCCCTTAAAAATTTCCCAGTATGACGACCTTATCGTGTTTGCTGGTTAACCGGCTG